CCTTTGCTTTCAGGCTCCCTTAGAAAGCAGGCACCAGAAGGAACTAGTTAGGCAGCTCCCAGCAGGCCCTGGTTCAGACCCTCGGGAAGAGCCACCCCATGAGGCCTCGTTAGCTGCCACTTTGGACCCAGGAGATGCTCGAGTCCTTCTATCCACACTCGGTGCTTCATTCACCCCCGGCTTGTTTTCTCTCCTTGCACCAGGCTCCCCAGTTTGGAGATGATAACGGTTGGTAGCAGCTCGGGAGGGGGGCCTGTAAGAGGGTGGGGACAAGCCCACCACAGGCCTCTTGGTGCAGGACTACAGCCCAGAGAGGATGCTGGCAGGTCAACTCTTCCGGGTGCTACACCCAGGGCTGGTGGTGCCAGGCTCCTGCCCTGTGAGGACTGCTGCTTCAGAGCCTGGCTTCTCTCACTGTGGCCCATGGTGTGTTTCAGATCGGGAAGCTGCGCAGCGAGCTGGAGATGGTGAGTGGGAACGTGAGAGTGATGTCCGAGATGCTGACAGACCTGGTACCCACCCAGGCCGAGCCTGCAGATCTGGAGCTGCTACAGGTGAGCAGGGCCCAGCCTCCCCAGCCCCCAGGTGACTTCTGACTCATTGACCCACACACATTCCTTCCCGGCCCACATGACATGGCACACTCCGAACTCCCTGGTCACAGCAGGAGTTGTTGAAAGCAGGGACTTTGGATTCTATCAGGTTGGCATTCTGATATTGGCTCTACGACTTTCTGGTTTAGACAAAATAACCCTTCTTGCCTCAGTTTCCTCATCTGTAAGATCGCTCTACTAATAGCCTTTATGGTGTAAGTTTAACGTGGCATTTAAATAAGGTATTTCATATAAAATGCTAGCCCTTTGCGTGGTATAGCATAAGCTCTTAAATGGTAGTAGGAAAAAAACAGAAGGTGAGATGTAGCCGGTAGGGTGATGGAGGAAGGCTAGGCACATGAGCAGTGCTGGCTTTGAGATGTGGGAGCGATGTTCTTGGGGAGCAGAGGCAGGCGGGAGCTGTTGGTTTGGGCTCCCAGGTCCCATCCCAGCTGGGGCATCCACCGGAGCAGAAGGACTGGGTTGGTGAACACCACCTCCCCGTGGAGGTCAGCCTATAAAGGTACCACTGAGGAGCAGCTATGAGTAAGACCAAACAGCGTCACATTACCCAACAAGCAAGGTAAGCACAGGCTTATTTGTACTTACCAAGCTGTAGTGACATTTTCACCACATCAGAGATTCTGCTTCAAGGTACAGCTGGCATCTCTCTCTCTCCCAACCCCATAGCACTTACATACAGAATCAAAGCCTCTTTGCAAATTTACATTCCCTGTCAGGGACAGAATGCCCATTAAGCATGGGTTTACTTATGCTAACTCAGTAATCTGTAGGGGAGTAATCTGAAATCAAAGATGTGGTGAAACCCATGTGAAATTATTCACTGCAGATTAGTAAGCAAGCACGAATAAGCCTGTGCTTACCTTCCTTTTTGGCTATTCCACCCTGGGCACCAAGGAGGCAGTGAAACCCTGCTGGCCAAGGAGTTTCCAGGATCTAGAGGGGACAGTGCTTTGTGTGATTGTCGGATTTCAAGTCAGTCTCCCACTGGGCCTCCAACTCCTAGAGGACAGGGCTGATAGCTGACTCATCTCTGTCCCTGTGCCTAACCAAGCTGGCACAGTGTACTTGCTTAAAGGTTTCTACATTATGGGTGGGGTGCGGAGATGGGAGTTGGAGTCTTGGAGTTGAATGAATGAATGAATGAACAAAGGAATATGAAGACTACATGAGGGCTATGAGAAAAGCTGAGTGAGTTCGGAGCAGGATTGCTGTGATGCTGTCAGTTTTGTATGTCTCCAGCTAAGGCCGTGAAGGTGTGACTGCTTTTGGCAGGTGAGATTGATACATGACAACTCTCAGGCATTGAGTATGTCCTGTGTGCCAGGCTTTGATGCTATAAACCAAGACCAAAACCAAACCCACTGCTGTCAGTTAATTCTGACTCATAACAACCCTATAGGACAGACCACCCCACAGGCTTTCCAATGCTATGTCTTTTTTTTTTTTTTTAATTGTGATTTGGGTGAAATTTACAGAACAAATTGGTTTCTATCCACAAATCCATACACACTCTGTTTTGTGACATTCACTGCAGTCCCCACACTGTAACAGCATGCTTCCCACTTCCTCCCTGCACCCACCCCTCCCGCCTTCCTGGCTCTACCCTGGGACATGCTCTTGTCTTGATCTCATAATGCTCAATTGTTCTAATGAGTGCACTACCCTCCTGATACTACTGCTCACCTCATAGGCCTGTGTGTTGTGTGGCTGAAAGTTGAGTCACAGGGGTTAAGTTCAGTTCCTAGCTTAAAGGGTGTCTAAGGGATTTCCACCAGTCCTCATCAGACCAGTAAGCTTGGTCTTTTTTATGATTTTGAGCTGTGTTCCACATTTTCCACCACTCTATCCAGGACCTCTTATTATCCTTTCAGAATAGTCAGCAGTGGTAGCCAGGCATCTGCTTCTGGTCTCAAGGTCGTAGATGCTGAGGTTCAAATGGTCCATTAGTCCTTGGACTAATTGTTTCTTTGCATTTTTTATTTTCTTCACTCTTCCATCCTCCAGATGGAGAGAGGGACCAATAGTTGCACATTAGATGGTGAGTCACAAGCTTTGAAGACCCCAGCCTCTACTCACCACAGTAGGATGTAGAACATTGTCTTTGTGGACTGTGTTATATCCAGTTGATCTCAGTGTCCCCTGAGACTGTGGTCCTGGGCCTCTGTGCTTAGCGATTCATACCCCAGGATGTTTGAGTATGACTAAGACGTTCTCCTAACTTTGCCTCCCTGTGATCTACTACATTCCTCAGTATGTCTGCAGCATACATAAATACATAGGTAGAGATAGTCTCTGCCAAACCCATACATATTCATGGGTGTAGGCCCATTCAAGGCTGTAAACCTTTACAGGAGGAGACTGCCACATCTTTCTCCTGCAGAGCAGTTGGTGGGCTTAAACTGCTGACCTTTCAGTTGGTAGCCAAATTATTTAGACACTGTGCCACCAGGGCTCCCCAGCTCCGATATAGACACTTGATAAACAGTCACTCATGTAATCCACACCACTTCCCCCACCCCTGTGAGGTAAGTACTCTAATTGCCCCAGGCAAAGAGGACAAAAAAAATATATATATATACCTGGGGTCACATGGCTGGTAAGTAGCAGAGGTGGAATTCGAACCTAGGAAGCCTGGCTCCAAGTACTACTGTTCTGCTCTTGTAAGAGGCTAGCAAGGAAATGGAGGAAGGCTACAAGTGTCCGTGGTCATCAGAGGAAGAGAGCAGAGGCCTGTGAGGGTGTTGAAAGTCACTCAGCTCTGTGTGCCCTAAGCTAAAAGTAGATGGAGAACACCCAGCAGAAGGAAGCCTGACCCAGGAAGGGGTGGGTGGCAGGTCTAAAAGAACCAAAATAAATACCAGTGCTCCTCTAGTCTTGATGATTGCTCCAGGAGAAGAGTAGGCTGAAGTGTGCCTGTAGCCAGCTCTGTGCCTGAGGACTG